AGTTTTTGGTTTGGTTGCACTGGCTGTTGACGTAGGATGCCTATTTTGGATGGCCTGATGTATACCCTTTCATTTGCTGTATGAAAGTTGGTTTTCCATTAAAAAGGAAAAATAAAAAAAAGGCTTAAAAATAAACTCCGAGTCAACTTAGTAAAATTCATGAGAACAATTTGAATTGGCAGAACAACTAAGGGCCTCTTTCTTGTTTTTCGTTTCCAATTTTATTAAGGAACCTAAGCATTTAACAACTATTTATATTTGTTACTTATCATTTTTTTAGAAACATTCTCAAAGTTGTATAGAAATTTTGGAAACAACAAAAACAAGTTTCTTGTTCCAATTTATTATAAAATATAAATAAAAGTATTGTTTAATATAAAATATAAATAAAAGTAAATAATTCTTGAATTCATGAGTTTTTTTTTTTTTAAACAAGAAACTAACTTTTCATTGATTGATGAAGAGGAACAAAAATTGTTCAAAGACAAACTCCTGAAAGAGTGATAAACAAAGAGGTAAAAACATAAACCATAAAAAAAGCTAACAAGGAGAGATAAAAGCCTCCCAATTCAAACAAATCATGCTAGGAGAGTAGTTAGAGAATAAATCTGAAAGAACACACCATTGAGAGACCTTAAATTTAGCAATGTCGAAGGAGTCTATGTAGGACCTCCACTTTCCTTTAAACATCCTTTGGTTCCATTCAAACCAAATTTCAAAAATTAACGCCTTGAGGCCATTAACCCTAAGGAGATTAGCTTTAGGCCGAAACTCTACCAAGTAGAATCCATGAGAGTTGTTGCCATGCAATTCTATTTTTCTTTATTAAAAAGAGGAAATAGAAACAAGAACCAAGAAACAAGAACGTCACCAAACTAAGTTGATTCATAAAGTCAAAAATATATTTAAAAAATTGAAGAGGACTAGCACATCCAAATGTTGAAAATAATCTTGATTTAAGATAATTAAAATTGGTCACCGTTTCATTCTTTCAACTTTTGCCGCTCATTCTTTACCATATTTAATAATGTTTAGGACGTGTGTTTTTGCTGTTAGTCATCTCCCTCTTCCTTGTTTTATCTGTTAATATTCTATTAGTCATCCAGATGGAGGAGAAAATAAAGGAAATTGTGGAAATCAAGCAACGCAGTTTGGCAGAAGAAAACCAGAAGGCATTAGATGTAATAAAAGAAAGGTATCATTCTTGTTAGGTTAATGGAATCATACAAATTTATATGTGTTATTTAGAATGTAAATGTCAACATCGATTCATGAAATGATGAAATGTTTATGTGGAGGTGTCTATAGATTTATTTAGGAGTGAACATTGGTTGGTGTTGGTTTTGTGCTTGACTGTCGGTCAAATTGTTGGTCGGTTTTTGGTGAACGTTAGAGGAAGAGATGCCACTATGTGGCACGTAGGAAAGCTCGAGATGAGAGAGATTGAGAAGAAAGGGAAAAAGGAGAACATAAAATTGAAGAAGAAATGAGGGAAGCAGAAATCGATGGTTAAAAGACCGACCCCAACTGAATATGGGTATAAACCAACCGACCGATGTCGGTTTGG